ATTAAATTAATTAAATAAATAATTAAAATAAATTTGTCCAAAAAAGTATCTCTCGATCGATCATTTGCCAAAGCCAAAGCCAAAGCCGAAGACGAAGCGAGCGAGCGACGACGAAGACGGTGCGAGGGGGGTCCCTCTTTCCAACCCTTTTAACAATTAATAGGAGTGTTTATTTATTTAATCTCTCCTATTTTCATTTCCATTAACGATGAGGGACTATTGCCTTTTTCAATAAAGCATTAGAGGAGTTTTCAAGTTTCCAACCTTTCAAGTTCTAAACTTTTTAAATTCCTCTCCTTCCCTCTATTTCCCATCAATTCTTGCTACATACCCAACAATCCCCCACATTGATGGGGAATAGTTATAACATAGGAATGCACGGACAATTGTGTACTTTACAAGAAAGGATTAATTGCATCTGGATAAGTAGGTTTCCCCTTGGACTTTCCATAGTGAACATATGTCAGATATACTCGGTCAATCGGTAAATGTGATATCTTTGCACCGTCGAACTTTGGTGTATACCTATACAACCATATGTCACACAATTAATCCTTTACTGTTTATGATTCTCACGGTTGTGTTCGTTTCAGCCATGAACACCTCCTGGTTTCATGAGTGTATAGAGAATAGGCTTTTGACATAAAATTCTCTTTGAAGCGGCTTCCACTTCACACTAACATAGGTGATTTCTAACCGTGTCATCTCGTAGATACACTATTTGGTCAAATCTACCAAACTTAGCAAATCATTAAAAACTTTAAGCTTTATTACCTCATTAACAAGCCTTAGAGTCTTATCCTTTTCCTGAACATTGTCTTCATTATGAGAATGGATTGAGTTAATTGACAATGTCGAACCGTCAGCCACAACTTTGTCTTTTTCCTTGAATCTAACTCTTGGGATCTCCAGTCTGCTAGATAGAGTTACCGTCATGCTGACTTGTCCTAAGCCGTAAACCCATTCCCTTAGATGATCTTTCAACTGCCTCTCTCACTAGGCCTTCCGTTAGTGGATCTGACACATTATCGCTTGAGTTTACATAGTCAATTGTGATAATTCCACTAGAGAGCAGTTGTCTTATGGTGCTATGTCTACGTCCTATATGACGAGACTTCCCGTTGTACATAACGCTCTCTGCCCTACCTATTGTTGCTTGACTATCGCGATGTATGCAAATTGGTCCAACAGGTTTGGGACAGAATGGAATATCCTCTAGGAAATTCCGGAGCCATTCCACTTCTTCACCAGCCTTATCCAAAGCAATGAATTCACATTCCATTTTGGAGCGAGCAATACATGTCTGTTTGGAAGATTTCCAAGGGATAGCTTCTCCACCAAGTATGAATACATAACCACTTGTGGATTATACATCATTTGACCCGGTGATCCAATTTGCATCACTATATCCTTCAATCACAACAGGATATTTATTATAATGCAAAGCATAATGTTGTGTCCAGTTTAGATAACCCAACACACGTTTCATAGCCATCCAGTGAGTTTGATTCAGATTACTAGTGTAGCGACTCAGTTAACTAATAGCACATGCTATATCTGGTCGCGTGCAATTCATAATATACATCAAACTTCCCAACACTCTGGCATATTCCAACTGAGAGTCACTTTGACCTTCATTCTTTTTGAATGTACAACTTAAATCATTGGAGTTTTGACTACATTGAATTTCAAGTAATTGAACTTATCCAATACTTTTTCAGTATAATGAGATTGAGATAATTCTAGTCCCTGGGGAGTTTTGATAATACTGACCCCTATGATCAAATCAGCAACTCCTAAGTCTTTCATATCGAACTTGCTGGACAACATGCGCTTAGTAGCATTTATATCGTCAATTTCTTTACTCATTATTAACATGTCATCAACATACAAACAAACAATGACTTCATGATTCATAACATTTTTACTGTAAACACATTTATCACATTCGTTAATCTTGAATCCATTTGCCAACATTATTTGATCAAATTTTGCATGCCATTGTTTGGGTGCTTGGTTGAGTCCATAAAGTGACTTCACAAGTCTGCACACTTTCTTTTCTTTACCAGGAACTATAAACCCTTCAGGTTGTTCCATGTAAATTTCTTCCTCTAACTCTTCATTTAAGAAGGTTGTCTTTACATCCATTTGGTGGATTTTAAAATCGTGCGCTGCTGCTAGTGCTATTAACATCCTAATTGATTTTATCCTTGTTACTGGAGAGTATGTGTCAAAGTAGTCCAGACCTTCCTTTTGTTTGTACCCTTTGACTACCAGTTTAGCCTTATATTTGTCAATAGTCCCATCAGGTTTCATTTTCCTTTTAAAGATCCATTTTGATCCTAAAGGTTTATTTCCTGGAGGAAGATCAGTCAATTCCCAAGTGTGATTGCTTAAAATTGATTCAATCTCACTATTTTTTCAATAAGTTGACTATGACGAAGACATAACTGCTTTAAATGTTTGAGGCTCATTTTAAAGCAATAGTGCTACAAAATCTGGTCCGAAAGAAACAGATTTTCATTTTAGAGTACTTTGCCTAGGTTCCTCACTAGTTAGAATATTTTCCATTGAATCTTCTCGTGGTCATTTAGGTCTTTCACTTGTTGACTCACTTTCAGTTTTATACGGATAGATGTTTCCAAAAAACTCTGCATTATCTGATTTAATTATCTTATTAACATGAAACTCAGGATTATCAGATTTGTGAACCAAAAATTGGCAGTCTTTACTATTCACAACATACCCAATAAAGACACAATCTATTGTTTTGGGTCCAATTTTAACCCTCTTAGGTAAAGGAACCTCTACCCTGGCTAAACACCCCCACACTTTGAAATATCTCAAGTTGGGTTTTCTTCCTTTCCACAACTCATATGGAATTGATTGTGTTTTTCGATGGGGTACTCTATTGAGTATTTTATTAGCTGTAAGGATGGCTTCCCCCCAAAGATTTCGCGGTGAACCAGAATTGATCATTAAGGCATTCATCATTTCCTTTAATGTTCTGTTCTTTCGTTCTGCCAAACCATTTGACTGTGGTGTATAAGGTGCAGTAGTGTGATGAATAATATCATATTCCAAACATATCTCTGCAAAAGGAGATTCATATTCTCCACCCCTATCACTCCGAATCATTTTTATCTTTAGATTCAATTGGTTTTTCACTTCATTTTTGTATTGCTTAAATGCATCAATTGCTTCATCCTTACTTTTAAGCAAATATACATAACAAAATCGAGTGCAGTCAACAATAAAAGTTATAAAACACTTTTTTCCACCACGAGATGGTGTTGACTTCATATCGCATATATTTGTGTGAATTAAGTCTAAAGTTTTAGAATTTCTTTCAACAGACTTGTAAGGATGTTTAACAAACTTACTTTCCACACAAATTTCACATTTCGACTTATCGCATTTAAAATTAGGCAATACTTCTTGATTAACCAATTTTCGCAAGGCTTTGTTATTTACATGTCCCAAACGGGCATGCCATAAATCACTTAACTCCAATAAGTAAACAGAAGCAGAATTTTTATTAATATTGTCAATAACCATTACATTTAGTTTGAAAAGACCCTCATTGAGGTAGCCCTTTCCTATAAACATTTCATTCTTACTTATTACAGCTTTATCACTAACTAGGACACACTTTAAACCCATTCTTAACGAGTAGTGTAGCAGAAACTAAATTCTTCCTAATAGTAGGGACATGCAGAACATTGTTTAAAGTTAACACTTTGCCGGATGTCATTTTCAACATTACTTTCCCAGTTCCTGCAATCCTTGTTATTGTTGTGTTTCCCATGAATAAATCTTCATCGTACTCAGCAGGAATGTACGTTGCAAAGGCTTCTTTTGCAGAGCAAATATGTCTAGTGGCACCTGAGTCGAGAAACCACTCCTTGGGATTTCCAACTAAGTTACACTCCGATATCATTGCACACACGTCATCTGCATCTTCCATCTTTTCCACGATGTTTGCTTGACTTTTGCCTTTGCCTTTGTTTTTGTCCTTTCTTGGAGCATGACAATCAGAAAATCTATGACCAGCCTTGCCACAATAATAACAGTTTCTTTTGAATTTCTTCTTGGCCTGTTCTGACTTCTGCCCGTTGGACTTCTTTCTCTTTTTGTCTTTGGTAGGAGCTTCTTCAACAATATTAACTCCAATGATTGTTGAACTCTTACGTGACTTCTTTTCGGTATTTTTGTTATCTTCCTCAATCTTGAGCCGAATCACAAGATCTTCAAGCTTCATTTCTTACGCTTGTGCTTTAGATAATTCTTGAAATTATTCCACGAATGAGGTAACTTCTCGATCAGTGAAGCCACTTGAAAAGCTTCATTTACTACCATATCTTCAGCAATCAGATCATGGAGAATAAGTTGAAGTTCCTGCACTTGTGATCCAACAGTTTTACTATCTACCATTTTATAGTCTAAAACTTTGCGACCACAAACTTTTTCAAGCATGCATCTTCTGTCTAATATTTCTTCTCAAGTGCATTCCACAACTCTTTTGAAGTTGTTATTGCACTATAGACATTATATAAGTCATCCTCTAAAGCACTCAAAATGTAACCTATACATAGGAAGTCTAACTGTTTCCATGCTTCAACAATCATAAATTTTTCCCTGTCTGGTATATCATCAGTAGGAACTGGAGTATCTTCACTTGTGAATTTCTGCAGATAAAGAGTGGTAAGCCAGAAAAATACTCGTTGCTACCATCCTTTGAAATTCACACCTGTGAATTTACCCGGTTTCTCTGCTTGTGATACAAGAGTTCGGGTTGGTGCATCAACAACCACTGTAACACCAGTGTTTTCTATTTCTGATAAACAAAATTGATACAATATAAGCAAGCAATAAATTATAATTGCAGACTTAAAGGAGTATAAAATCACAAAGATTTTTGTCTCCACCAGAAACACAAATTTAAATAATTTCCTTAAGATTGTTGCCAATATGTGTTATGAAAATCAAAAATTACTGGTTGTAATAAATCAGTCAGAAACACGAAGTAACTGAGATTTTTAGAACCAATAAATAAGATGAACAGAAACTTATTTGTAAAAAATAATTGAATCTGTAAAACTTACTAGAATCTGGAATACACTTTTTGATAATTTAGGAAGAAAATCAAGTCCACTGAATTCACAGTGTCCCCTTAAGGAAATTATTCCCCTCCAGTATCCGAGGTTTGATTTGGAATATAACCTCCCAGGGTAAAATGATCTTAATTAGTAGAGTATAGATACCAAAAACTCTACTGTCAGCGAATCAATCCACAGCAGGAAAGTAAATGAATAAATATGTGTTTTTAAGAAAAGAAAGATCAGAAAATTCGTTGGGAAATATTCTGAAGACTGAATGGTATTTATAGGCAAGAAGAATATATTCTGAAAGGTTACAACCCTTTCAGAATTTACACGACCATTAATGAAAGGTTGTAAGCTTTCAAATGGTATTGACTGTTCCTGAAAGTTGCAACCTTTCAGAACAGTCATGGCGGGAATTTTTAATTAAATAAATAATTAAAATAAATTTGTCCAAAAAATTATCTCTCGATCATTTGCCGAAGCCGAAACCGAAGCGAGCGAGCGACGACGACGACGGCGCGAGGGGGGTCCCTCTTTCCAACCCTTTTAACAATTAATAGAAGTGTTTATTTATTTAAACTCTCCTATTTTCATTTCCATTACCGATGAGGGACTATTGCCTTTTTCAATAAAGCATTAGAGGACATTTCAAGTTCCCAACCTTTCAAGTTCTAAACTTTTCAAATTCCTCTCCTTCCCTCTGTTTCCCATCAATTCTTGCTACATACCCAACAGGAAGTGGTGTAGACTTATACACATTGAGTGGAGGTGGAGACGGTGAGGGAGGTGGTGGAGACTTATACACATACGGTGGAGGTGGTGATGGTAATGAAGGGGGTGGAGATTTATACACATGTGGTGCAGGTGGTGATGGAGAGGGGGAGGAGGTGATTATAAACATATGGAGGTGCGGGAGAAGGTGAGGGTGGAGGTGGAGATTTGTACACGTAAGGTGGTGGCAGAGAAGGAGAAGGAAGTGGTGTTGACATATAATCATACAAAGGAGGTGGTGGAGAAGAGAATACATAAGGGTCTGCCGACACTGCATTAGCAATAACCAATATGGCCAACGCCGTTAAGATTTGTGGCAAATACTGACGACCCTTGGCAACGCCGCCACCTTGAATCCTCATTTTGCCGGAAAATTACACCACCTAGCCTCCCCCCCCCCCAAATATGGCTAGTTAGAGTTAGAAGAAAGGAGATGAGCTTATGTTTTGAAGTTGGGTAGTGTTGCCTTTTGGGGATTCATTGGCCTATGTATTTATAGTAAAACGCCTTGAGAGGTAGCTTTATCTAAAGGACCAATTCAAATATAAAAGAATATGCAACATATTCTAAAAGACCAGTTCTAGTTTTACTTGTAAAAACTCCACTTCTTGATCACTTTCGAATAATTCCATTGAATTATTTCACATCATTTACCTGCAAAGAGACAGATCACTTCACATTCTACAAAATATTGCTAACGGAAATGATTGTTAATTAATTTTCAATATTTCCATTCTCTTAACACTTTTAGTTTGCATGTGTTGCCTCTCATGGACATTAGTGTTTCAGACCTACAAGTATCAATAATAAATTGAATGATAATCATACACATAGACTTAGTGTCGGTAAAATGAGCTTATATTTTGGTGACCCGTCCAAATCACACATATTTGAATGGGTTGGATGAGTGATTTTTCACATGGATAATATATAGGTTGATACCTTTATATAAAGCCACCTTTGATACTTGATAGAAAGCATTTTACCCTCCAAAATAAAATTTTCCAATGTTAATCCGGATAAAATGGACCCCAAAGCAAACATCAGACATCAAATGGATAAGAACCTTCCTTTGATGGATGCATGGCTTCAACTAAGTTGATTTTACTTGTTGCCAACTAGAAATGTTGATTTCTTTGACATTGAAATATTTCAACTACACCATTATATTTTGTGATATATATACTTAAAATAAGTTTGACTATTTATTTTATTTTGAAATATTTTATTAATTAATTTGAGAAGCATTTGTTCATGAACTAAGTTTTAAAAATCAATTTCTGTCGTTTTCAATTAATGCTAATTGTTGATACTTAATAAGTTTATGAAAGAGATTGTTTAATTTTTTTAGACTTGACATGCACTACTAATTCAAAAAGAAGTAGTACATATCCGTACTTCAGATATTTTCCATATTCCCTTTAGTAGTATACATTTGTAAAATTAAAGCATTTCTGTTATACTTTGTATGAGGGTTTGATTAGAGAAAATTTATACGTTAGAGAAATATGTAGCTCTTTAATATGTTCGGGAATCACCTTTTTACTTCATACAAGAAGCACATAAATTGATCCGAATATCACGATTGTTAGAAAGAAAATGCTTTGTACAATTATACTGTGGCAAAGAAATCGGCTGTCCCAATATATTTCAATTGTGAATTCTAATCATATGATGAAAGAATTATTAGACGTGGATTGATTAACTTTTTAGACACAATATTTTTTTAAAAGAAAAAATAAAAAGAACCTATAACATTGATGTTTAAGATAGAAGTCAAAATCTTTTTTAATAAAATTCACTATTTAAATATTTGGATTTTGTGGTCCCGCCTTTGCTCCACAAGGAAGACTTGGTAATTAGGAGTGATGGAAAAGTCGGATAAATTCATTAGTTTTTGTATAATATTTATATTTTAAAAACTTTTAAAATAATAGTAGTTAATTGTGAATTCAATGTGCAAGAACAAATGGAACTCAGGTAAATAGTCAAATGAAAATCCATTTTCACGAAATAATTTGATTTATTAAGACTTAAAACACAAATATTTCTAGACTATGATCAAAACTCCAAAGATATTAAAACTTAATTAGGACCTTACCACCCCAGCGAATGCAGCCAAAAGGGAATCAGAGTACCGCGAACGCGACCAAGGACCCACGAAGGCCAATTAAGTGTTGCACGAGCTAATGCATATGACATAATTTTTGGCTAATTCCAAATCTTCGATGAGGTGCTCAAAATTTGTTCGGAACCCCGTATGTAACACTTTAAAAGTCAATGATCTAAGCTAGAGCATCACATGATGAACTAAACCTTAAAACACTATTTCCAAGCCTAACTTAATGTTTATAAACCATTTACGAAGTTCTAGAGTCAAGGAGTCAAGAAACGTCCATGACGTCTGGAAACTAGCTAAATCGAACTAGTTGACGTACCTATGTGTGGTGAAGGTTTGGGAGGATCATATTAAGTCCAAAACTTGTAAAAAGACTTTAAATAGGTAAAATATAGTGTAGAAGGTCTAAGCATTCAATAACAACTCCCCAAGGACCACCCAAAGGTTCCTTAAGGAGGACCCCAACATAAGCAAGCAAGCTGCCAAAGCAGCCTCTGCAAGGCAGGAATTCAAGGGTTGTTGCACGTCGCACAGCCCACATGCGGAAAATTGGCCTCGCATCGCATGCATACCATTAGGTCCACTGTAGCAGATCAGATTTTAAATAAATTCAAAAATCAGCCTCGCGATGCAGTGCCACTTGAAATCGTATTTTAAGCATTTTGACTTCTAAAAAGACCCATTAAAGTAAGGGGTCTTTTGGGTGATTTAGGCGGTGAATATATATTGACTAAGGGTCACTTTTGAGTCATTTTTCACTCACCTAAATCAAATTCCCAAAAAAAATCCAAAAGCTCTTATCTCTAAACTTTCTCTCTCCCTAAATCCTCCATTGAAGAAGCAAGAATGCTTGAAGAAGAAGACCAATTTCTCTATGATTTCACTTCAATTTCTTGGATTAATCTTAATTAAGGTATGATTTATTTACTCTTGGAATTCCTTTCCCCAAGATATCCTTTCAAAATTGATTTCTAAATCACCCAATTTCAAGGGTTTTTCCAATCCTAATGGGTTTTCTTCTAAACTTTAAATTGATGATGAATTGTGATTGTCTATGACTAATTAAGTTTATATTATTGGTTAATTTATTTTAATTGATGCAATTCCATGTAGATCATGTCCCTTTCCCCAAATTCCCCAAATCTTGGATCTTTTCTTATTATTGATGGGAATTGAAGAATGATTTAATTGTTAGACTTGTTTTATCTATTCTCATTCATTCATGGACTGCCTATGGTAATGTGTTGTTGGAATTGGATCAATTTCTTGAAGAATTCATGATAAATCCTGTTCCCCTAACCCTAGATTATGAAATGAAGCTAATTTGGATAGTGATGATGCAATTGACCTAGCTATTTTGTTAATTACTATTGAATGATGTTGTTACACCTATTGTTGGGTTGAGTTGGATGGTTGATGGTAAAACCATGATTGATGTATTGTGAAGGATATTGAGTAAGTCTTTATGATCCTAGACTTTACTTCAATTATGACTACTTGTGCTTAGTCATGAAGTTATATTAAAGTATACCTTATGATGAGATTGATTAGGGTTGGTATGATGTTGAATTGAAATATTTTGATTTATGTCTTTTGAGTTGTTAACTAAGATGTAATGATATAAGGATGGTGATGACTTACCTATGAGCCTTATCATAATGCGATTATGTAAATGTGCTAACCTAACATGTATAAATTGTAATGAAACAAGAATACACATGTAATTCTCATTGAGCTATGATGATGATGATTATATAAGGGATAGACCCAATGAAATAAACTAATATATGATGATTAATAAAGTCTTAAAGTAATATCAATAAGGGACTTAGCTTAGTACCGAGTAAACTTGACAATGAGAGGTGTTGGCTTCCCGTAGAGGAAGACTCACTCTATAGTTTCATATGAGGTGTTGACTCCCCTATGAGGGACACTCACCCGATGGGTTCTCATGAGATAAGGATCCAATGTTAAATGGCATGTAGTTAGTTCATACATATTGCCTACTTCCTAAACTATGTAGACCCAGTAGGAAGAATAGCTAGTGGATTCACCTAGAAAGCTACGTTTATGTTTGTTTTTACTTTGGCCAGTAAACCACCTACCATCGGTGTAAGGTTTTACTACACCGGATTTACACTTAGCTCTTGTAGTCTATATCGGTTAAGGCAAGTGTTCCTAAAAATAAAATAGAGTAAGGAAGTAAACACTAACTAAGGTGACTTAAGAGGTTTGACTTAGACTAGGTAGGGGTATGAGACTCTACCTATGTCTTGCACTAGTTTGCCATGAGGGAAGACTTAGAAGGTTGTTATTATGTTCTTATGACCTTTTAAAGTGACTATTATGTATATGTTGACTTTACATGTTGTTGATCCTATATGATGTTGGTTTTACTTATGAACATGATGTTGGTGTATATTGCTAAAGTATGAGGAGGATTAATGTTGTTGTCATGTTATGTGAAGTTAGGCATTACTTATCGTCCTTTGTTTGGTTTACTTGAGTTAGTAAAGGTATGGGGCTTTACTTGGTCATTGCACTTGTATACTAAATGATGGGTTATGGGTAAGGTCTTTGATTATATTATGATGTTATGAAATCTTATATATGTTGACTTGAATATACTTGATGATGTTTGTCTTGTGTTCTATATGTCCTTGAATTAAGAGTTATGTGCTCATTAATTTATATGGGTTTTTGTATGTGCATGAGGCTTTTCAAAGTAAATCAGCATATTTGAACAAATGTCCCTTTTAACATGATTTCTATGTTGTGTGTACATATGTGCCCATACTTAGTACAAGTGATGTGCTAACCCATTTGTTCCTTTGTCCCAAAAATTTTTGGTTTCGGTCGTAGAAGGGCTTGTGACGACATTTGAAGGAAGACTTGGATTCTGATTCTCCAAGTTGGTTAGTTTCTCACTACTTCGAGGATAATGGAACTTTCTAGCATTGGATATTTATTAGTATTAAAGACACTTTGTTCATTCTATTTCATTTGAGTACTAAATATTGTTAGCCTATATATGGCTTTTATTGTATTGATGTATGGACTACACCCAATTGTTGTACTCTTATTTAGATGGTTATGATATGAGACATTCGTTTTAAGACTAAGTTATATCTTATATATATATGTGTGTGTGTGTGTGTGTGTGTGTATGTGTGTGTGTGTGTGTGTGAGTGAGTGTGTTTGTGTGTGTGCGCGCAATAAAATTAAAAGACTAAGTAATCTTCT